CAGCGGGCTGCCAGTGAAGGGACGTTTCCCAGAAGCCGTGGCACATCGCTTCTGACTTCTCACAAAGGGCTCGATTCTGTCAAGGGCGGGGGAGAAAACTCAAGACTGAAGATGCTGGGCACCCATGCTCCAAAACGGCTGCCAAGAATTTCACGGCCCACACTGGGCCTTACTGATGGGCAAATAGAAGGTCATGGGGCAGGTTATGTAACCTTGGCTTACAGCAATTTTGCATCTTTAAAAAAAATACCATAAAAATCCATCTTTTGCCTCAGATACACTAGGCTAAAAATATCTCAGCCAGCCAGTAAGCGTGTGTGATTTTTTTCTTTATGCATCTCCCCATCCACTGATTTCCAGCAGACAAATAGGCTCCTAGACAGGTCAACAGTCCACCCTCCACAAAGGGACTGACCGGAGTGTTCTTGCTCAAAGGCAGATCAAATTGTTTCACTCCCCAAGCAAAAAACCCACCTTCGTTAGTTCCCTTTGTCCAATAGTAGAAGTTATTGCTGACTAAATCTTTACAATGTAACATGTGTTAGTCTAAGGGCTTAATGGTCTTATCTTACTAAATTCCCTAAAGCAACCTTTTGAAGTGGGGACTACTGATGTCCCATATTCCAGGTGAAGGAACGATGGCACAGAAGGTAAATAATCATGCCAGGGCTCTCTTTGAATTCATCACTCTACAGGTCAATGTATAGTCTCAAAAAGGTAAAGACCAACACCCCGGCTTGGCATCCCAAAGCCTCCACACTTTGGCCCCCACTTCCTGCCCAGGTTTATCTCCTACCACCCTCTCCAAACTCACCCAAAACACATTTACATGTATTCCCACTCACACGTACACCCCAGAGCCTAAGCCCCAGCCATGCCAAAATCCTCATCCTTCCTCAAACATAACATCACTTTTTAAAATTCAATTTCTTTGCATGTGCTGTTTCTTCTATCTAAAACACCTTTCCCAACACCTTTCTGAAATTGGCAAATTCCTAGGCATCCCTCAAGACCTTCCTTCTCTGTAAATTCTGCAAATACTCTGTCCTCACTAAGCTCTTTTAAGAGAGGGATGCTGCCCTCTGCGTCTCTACACCAGTAACTCCACATATGGTTGCTGCTCAGCATCCATTAAACAAAGAAGCCATAACAGTAGTAGTTAACACTTACAGGGTGCAGGCACTGTGCTAAGCACTTTATAAGAATTATCTCATTTGCTCTTCATAACAACCCAAAGACATAGATTCTGTCGCCGTCTCCTCATTATCCAGGAGGGCAACCCAGGCAGAGAGGGGTAAATGAACTTACCCAAGGTCACACAGCCACTAAGTAAAGAAATAAATTTGCATGAGTTCAGGAGCTAAGCACTTTATGCTGACGCTGTGGTAGGTGACATAGTCTCACTGCATACCACTGTGATGGAATAGGAGCATATGTGTATGAGGCTCATGTATAAAAGGTATATTATCCATATAAAAACAGTAATAAGTCAGAAACCAGTCACAAAATATGCCTTTTAAAAATAGATTGCTATTGGACACAGAGAATATCGACTGTTGTGAAGGAAATACAGATGTGAATAAGATAGTACCTGACCCCAAGGATCTCTCCAATCCAGTGAGGAAAGTACGATGACCTTACCTACAACTCATGACATAGCCCACTTTTTGAGGTATCCCTTTTCTCCTTTAATCAAAGATATGTCTTTCAAACAGTGTCATAAATTAACTTGCTGTATCACAACACACTGGTTCTAGATCGACACTAACTCTTTGCATTTCTTTAAGATCCCTCTTCCCAGTATGAATTGTGCAAAAATCTTCATTTATGGACCTTATGCAAGATTGCGTGTGAGCTACCTCTTGACTCAGAAATAATACAAGAAAAGCAGGGAAAAAAAATCTATTCTCAAATGGGGGGGGGGCATCTTTCTTAAAAGGAGACAGAGAACCCTGGATTCAAGATTTCTGACTTGTACTAGATGCTAATAGTCATCATAATAGTCACCACGGTTAACTCCTTTCTACCAGCATCCCTCTATCTTACTGGGGGATAAGGTTGACTGTAAAGAATACTGAATCTTTGAGTTCAAATCATGGTATAAAGGAGCCAAATAATTTTTAAAATATCTATATGGTGTTAATTTTTAAAACAAACAGATGTATGAATAATTCAGGCAACTCAAATTATTATACTTTCAGCATATTTAAGGACATAATAATAATAATAATTCCAGTTAAAAGAGCTGGATTTAAGGACATAATAATGATAATAATTTCAGTTAAAAGAGCTGGATCTGAAAGCGTGTTCTAAATGCCCCTAAGCAACTAAATATATATGAATGTATGCATTAAATTTATATACTAAAATGTTAACGGTAATTTTTTGCATAGTAAAATTAATGATAAATTTTATTTACCTCTTTGCACATTATTTTATGAATATTCTACATTGATGGTGTACTATCATTTTAAAATTTAAAAAATTACATATATTTTAAAGCATATGCAAATTTGCTTTAAATATATAGGCAAAGAAAACAATCATCAATTCAAATACAGTAAGGGTTATTGATGTGTTTTTTAACACCAACAGCATGATGCTAAAGATCAGTAGCATTTTAAGGCAAGTGGAAAACTGTAAAAGGAGAAGAGCTTGGAACATAAAAGTTTCTGTAGGGTTGAGGTACAAATCAGTGCTTGGTAAGAGTGTCTATTCTGGGTCAGTTCCTCGTTCCTATGTAGTGACAGGCCAGTGATGTGACTAAGAAAACCTGAGATCGCTTATGAATTGGCAGCACAACATGTAAGCTCCCCCTGGGTCTAGTTTCTGCACTTCTAAAATCAGCAGCTTGGGCTAGATGATCTCTCGTGTCTATTCCAGCCATGAAATTCTAGGATTCAGCTAATTTGGGAGTGATAAGCCCCACCAAATCAGAACTTTTCAAAGGCAGGTAATACGTACCAACTGCTTAATTTCAATTTCAAGTAAGAAAATTCAGTCAACTGCAGGGCAATCATGGTTAAAAATTATAAGGCATAAGAAAGGTTGATTTTTGAGCGTACTGCCAAATGGTCAGCCTTGTTTATTGGTTTAGCATTTGCTTGCCTACACAGATTTTCAGTGTAAGATAAAATCCTCAAGAGTCCTAAGAAATGACCTACATTGGGAACCAAAATTTAGCAACCACTGATCCCTCCAAAAACAAAAGAAAAGAAAGAAAAAACCTGCAAAAGATTTAATGTTTGAGCTATGCAAGATATTTCTCTAGAAAGGTTGATAAAAATTATTATCGAAATGGAACTCATGCCCTGGTTAATAAAAAGAAGTACAGGAGGGTGTCTGTCATTTAAAGAATTCAATATAAGCAATCAAGGAGATGCTACAATGGAATGAGCAGGACAAGTGGGCATAGTGAACTAACGCCCAGTTGCACCTGTAAGGAAAGCAGAGACAGGCAGCATTTCTACCCATCAAGGTGCTGCCTCTGGCCAGAAAGAAACCACACGGTACCATTCAGCACATCACCAGTTCCACCCATGTGTGCATTTTCACTGTGTTAAGGAGTAAGCCACAAGGTGTCATAGTGGATCAACTGGAAGGGCTGTTATCAGTCCAGACACGCAGGTGGTGCTTCAGGCTTCCGACCAGTGCTGACCCAGCTCCCTTGGAGAAGTCTGTGCTGGGCTGCATATTGAGAAGCACATCTCTTTAGAAGAAATGGCCAGGAGAGGCCAGCGGGTGTGTGCTCTCCCTTCCTCCCCTGAGGCTCCCATTTAGACAGCCCTGTACAGACCCTGGTGAAGAGGAACATTTCAATGTTCTGTTTTCTCCGCTGAGTTCTTGGATGGAGCAAACATCATGGCTTTTCCCTACAGAATGGAGTGTACGTGCTCCTGTGCATTGGTCAACTCTTAATATAACCGTGGGTATGTCTGAAGGATAATTATAACCTGAACTTTGGGAAAGACCATGGCCTCTCTGCCAAACCATTACTCTCCAACAAGATGGTATATGATTATTATGTCATCACTACTATGTAATGGTGAAAAGCCCTTATAGCATTATCACGTATTATGCGAACACCAAACCCTCAAGTCCTAGAACATGTTATTGTAAGTTTTGTTCATTGAATTGAAATATGCTAGTGCAGCCGCAGGCCATGTAAAAAGCGTGTTTAACAATACTTTTAGGAAATCAAGCAAAGTTTTGCATGACTTACACTATTTAATTTGCTGAAAAAATAGAGAATAACGTCATCATCATCATCATTCTCATTTATTGAGCACCTATTATGCACCAGATATTTTACATGCATTAGCCCTTCACTGCACAATGTAAAACTCAGGCTAAGAAAACTAAGTCTCAGCAAAGTTAAGAAGTTTCTCTAAGATCACACGGCAAGTAGGAGGCAGAGCCAGGGTTTGAACTCGTTTGTCTTATCATAAGTCATGCTGAGGTTCAGGGTTTTTGTATTTAAAGTAGGTCACTCTTTTAACTCCAGAGGAGGGAAAAAAACTGGTGGCAAAAATTGTACATATTTTTTAACATGCAAATATGTTGCACACATACACAAACACAATCCGACTAGGACAAGTATCTCTGTCTCTGTCTCTCTCTTTTTGTATGTGTGTGTGTGTGTGTCTTTATATCTCTTTTATCTCTCTGTCTCTCTGTACATGTGTGTCTTTCTCTGTCTCTGTCTTCTCTCTCTCATTCTCACATATACACAAATGTACATGCCATACGATTAGCCAACTAAGTTATTAGAGACCACAACACCATATACTGATATAACTTCCCATATTTTTTCTGTTTTGCAAATAACTTCAAATAAGCTAATTAATGGCCCTGAAAGCACTTTCCTAAAATACAAAGTGTTCCAGGAAATGTAAGGTATTATCATGATTCACATTATAATTCATGGCTTCAGGGGCTCCCAGGTAGATCCAGACAGAAAGAAAAGTGGTAGAAATATCAAATGAGAAAAAACCACTAGGGCAAGTATAAATATTTTTAATCAGAAGTCAGGAGATTCCCAACAGATCTACACTACCCAAAGGGCACAGTTCTCAGGTCAGCACTTCTTTCACAGACGAAATTGTTCTTTCTCAGGGCTTTTTCTGGCAGGTCTGGCTATGCAGTCTACCAGTGAACACCAACTGGTCTATTAGGCTCTCAGATTCTTCTCCAGCTGGGACTGTAGGCAATTGTTGGTCAGATTCAGGGCAAACTGCAGTGTCGGTCTGGAAGTACTAGTTTCACCAATAGAAATTTTTTATGTGAGTATATTCATTTTTCCTAGGACAGGTGAAACTTAATTTCCTTTATTCAACAAATACATTTTGCATGACAGCTACATGCTGCAGGGCATTGGAGGGACAACTATCAACAGAGCCACCAGGTTCCTGCCCTCACAGGGCTTATATTCTGTTGAGGACAGGCAGCACTTAGGAAACAAAGAAGCAGCAAGAAAACATCAGCTGGCAGTAATTTCTAAGAAGAAAATGAAGAGGGATGCAATAGAAAGTGATTGGGGGTTCATTTTAATTGAGGTGATTGAGGAAGGTCTCTCTTTGATGGGGGCACCTAAGTTGGTCAGTAGAGGACCTCCTAAGTGCTGGGACTCTCTAATTGATTGCCTGCAAATAAAGCAGTACCATGCCAAATTCTAATTCAAATTAGTTCTTCCAATCCTTAAATGAGTTATTATGGAGGAAGCCATGTACCCATTCCACTACTGAGGACAAAGGCCCTGAGATGTGAAGCAACTCAGCAAGCTAATAGATCCAAAGGAAGCCCCTCATGGCTTGAGTCTAGTGAACACGTGGTAGGAGATAAGACTGGACCATCAAGAAGGAACTGATCAATAAAACTTTAAAGCTAGTGGGAGAAGTTTAGCACTTGTTGTAGGTGTGAGGGGAAGCTGGGGTCACATGGACTGATTTATGCATCAAAAATGCCACCCTGGCTGCTTTCAGTGAGTGGATTATAAGGTGGAATGAGGGATCAGGGAGTGCAGTTAAGAGGACATGGCAATCCAGAAAAGAGAGGATGGGGGCTTGTAATGTCCCCAGAACAGAGTAGGTCCCTCTCTTTCAGAGGGGTCTGCCAAATCTTTAATACTAATAAGTCTTCTATTTTTCATTGGAAAACTAAAATTTCAACTTAGGCAGGTCAAAAGTGATGCTGACGTGCTGTCAGGGCCTCCAATAGGGAGTGGACAGTTAGAAGGTAACATGGCCTCACCAGCATGCTTCAGCAAGGAACAATGAATGGGGGAGTTAGAAGATCCAGCCCCTGGGGATTCAAGTCCCAGGGTGTCCATGTATGGATTCAGACAGTCTTCACTTCTCTGAGCTTCGGTTTCCTTGTCTGTTAAAGGAGAACAAGATACGTGCATCTTAGGCCTTTGGGTGGGTCAAATGAGGAAACCCATCTAATTTCCAATAACTGGAAGGCATTTACTTTGACTGTCAAGACAATGGCCTCTCAGGTAGCTAAAGCAGGCTGTCAGGTAGGGAGGAAAAATCATCTCCCACAAAGAGCTTCTGCAGGGAGACAGGATTTGGGGAAGACTGACTGCCTCCTAGGACTGGATCAAACTATGATAGTGAGAAGCCAAAACATATCGGGATTTCTTATCCTTCTCTGTCTTTATTTTCTCTAAGACGATAAGGAAATTGATTACCCACAAAGGAAGCCAATACTATGTCAAATTCTAATTCTAATTTAATCTATTAATACTTAATTGATTATTATCACAGAGGAGGTGACACTACCAAAAGTGGGATAGCTTTTTTACATACTCATTCCACTACTATTTAAAGCAATCAAAACACCATCTTTCACATGACTCAGAAGAGTCAAGCACTGGATGAAAATCTGAATATTTTTTAGGTAAAAAAAATAAAACTTTTAGATGACAATGCATAATACTCTACAGCAATTCCAGTGACTTTTCAGATAAAGCAAGTGTATTAAGTATTCTTCACTAGGGAGTGTGATTTGGGTTTTTTGATTTTTTGTTTTTCGTTTTCAATAACCAAAGTACATTGGCTTCATCCTTTGGAATTTTACATGGTCCCTCTTAAGTCATACATTTGGGGGAAAAAAAAACCTAGTAGAACCAAGTTAGGTGAATGGGGTCAACTTCCAAGCCACCTCCAAAGTCGACCCGTCCTAGGAAAAATGAATGTATTCGTATTAAAAATTTCTACAAGTGAAGCTAGAATCCTAGGTACTACTACTTATTTCAAGAGAGATGCTACAGCAGAATAGTTAGGAGCACAACCTCTGAAGCTAAAATGCCATCTATTTGACTGGGGACAATTTTCCCAACTTCTCCTTTCCCAGTTTTCTCATCGGTAAGAATACAGATGTTGGTCATACCTATCTCATGAGATGACCATGAGGGTTACATAAGCTGATGTTCAGAAAGCACCTAGTATTTTGCTCAACAGAAAGTGAACTCTTCATAGATGCTAGTTATTATCATCACAACCACCTGTCAGAAAGGCATATGCCTCTCACGACATGTATCCACCCGGAGTACACTGTGTGTTCATCGATCGTGGCGCTCATTGTGAGAGTTGGTAAAAGCTTTTAGAGGACAGAAAATGTCTTAATCATCTCTCTGTTTCCAAATTCCAATATTGTCATTGCCTGAAAAGTAGAAATTCTTGAAAGAATGCCTGAGTTTTGTTTTTAGTATTAATAGTTGCCTATGTTCAGATGCATGCTGCCAGAATTTAAGTTAAAAAAAAAATCTAGGCTCAAATTAATATTAAAAAAAGAAAGGAAGAAGAATGTCTTGGTCAGAAAATGACAAAGGCTATAGGATCTACATTAGTTGAACAGTTTTCAAATGCTGTTTTCCGACACTTCAAAAAGAGACTGTTTCCCAGATCAATTAGATTTTGAGACCCACCAACCAAATCCAAATAAGTAAGTTTATGAATCTTGTTCTTGGTAATTTATAAAGCTGGATGTTTGGGGCTGTTTGTTTTATGTTTTGTTTGCTTTCAGAAAGGGGGTGCTCTGTGTTCCTCATGAAAAATGAGTTAACGTGGACAATTGTAATAAAAGGAGATTTATGGCCCTGTTCTCAATACAATTTAAATTAATTTCTTTCTGAAACCCAAACAAAAAGCTAAATGCTTTAAAAATGCATAGTGTTTAAATCTTACATCATAATTTACACACCAAAAAGGGAGAAATTTAAATGTGCATTGATTCCAGGCTGATAAGAATCTGTGTTGAATGTGAGTTGAAAGATTTTTTTTTTCTTCTTGGCCTCCTACGAATAGTTAGTTTGCAGCAATTTTTAATTAAAAACAGTTCCCATAGTAAGAAAATGGAAAAAACAAAAAAAGACTTCAGGAAAATAAAATCAGCACAAGCGTCCTTCAGTTTGTTTCCTGAGGCCATGTAGAAAGCCTGAAAAATAAGAGAATTGGGAAGTTCTCGTTTTTTAAAACTGCACTTTTGGTTTCATTTAACATTTTCAAAATAGCTTTCCTTACCACCACCAATCCCCCTCCCCCTGCTCCTAACCAACCCCCTTCAAAAAACTTGGAAAGTTCTGTTTTGAACACTGAAAATCATTAATATAGTCAGGGTACCAGCAACCTTTTTCTTTCTAAATTTCTGGTGGGGGGGACCCTCCAAGTTATCAAAAAAGCAGTTTTCTTTTTTTCCACCTATCCAAATTACCTAATCTCATTTTAACTAGACTCCATCTGAACATCAATGATACTAAGCTATGCCATGAATAAACATGATGTTACAACGTGAAACCCTGTGACTGAAGTATGTAAAAATGTAGCTGAAAGAAAAGAGGACTGAGATCCCCCATCCCCTCCCGTCCCCTCCCCAGGGAGCTTCAGAGTTGAGCTGAGGAGGGTGAAAAGCAGCAGATTTAAATTTCAAGGTCTTCAAACATTTTTAACATTCACATTAAATCCTGTAAAACTAAAAACTGTAATTTTAATAAAATCCTTGTGTGTATGACTTCATATTGTAATCACAGTTTTCTCTTTGGAATGGGATTGTAACACTGATAAAGAAAAAAAAAAAATCTCCAAACAGAATAAGTACATAATGGAACTCACACTTTCCTGGGATTTATGGTATTTTATTAAAATTAGCATTTAATTAAAATAATTATTTTAAAAATGCATATACTTAAAAACATCTTCATTTGAATGGAGACGTTTTTGGACAGAAGAGTCATGGACAATAACAAAGATTTTTTATAACTTGATAAACTTTCTTAAATTCTATAATAATCCAATGTCAGTAAAATCTCTTCACTTAAAATGATGCTTCTCATATATTTTACCTATATTTTCATCTCATAGCACAGACCTCAGGAAATGAAAAAATACATTGTTTCTCTTTTCATTGAAGCTTTCCACAGATCAAATTCTGAAGTCTTTAGAACAAATTTTTTTTTTCCTATCTGACTGTACTCTGTGTGCAGTGTTAAACTATATAATTGTGCTGTTGTATTCTTTCAAAATACATTTGGCACAGCAAGACCATTCAAATACATGAATTTTAGAAGACATCAGGAAAATTTATGGCAGCATTCACAACGGGGATGCAACCCCCTTTCCAGTGCCTGGGAATTACAGTCAGCAACAGTGACGCAAATCTCAAAGTGTTTCTCACAATTTCATTTTAAAAGGGGGGAGGGGACACCCACACATTTCTTTATGAAATTCCACTGAGATCTTGGTGTTGCAAAGAAATTTTATTTCCCGGAACAGCCAGCAGCATTTAAAACATATTTTGTTGTTGTTTGCTTTTTAATGCATTTATAGTCCTTTAAAAAGAGGTGAAGTCCTATAATCTCTTAGACACTTGCTTTCTTCCTTTGCCACAAAGATTAGGGCTCTAAATAACATCATGATATAATAATTGTGGGGAATGTGGGGTGAGCACTTTAAGGGGAGAGGAAAGCAGATACCTAAAGCAGCTTCTGCTCAACAGGAGATACCAGGTCCCAAAAAGCATCAAAAAGAATTGGGTTTCTCAGGGAAGGTGTAATTTCAGTGGCATGGTTCTCAAACTCTCTCTCCTCTTTTATGTACTGATTCATGGATTGTCTAGTCAACAAATGTTTATTGAGTACCTACTTTGTTCAGGAAGTGCTTGCCCTAAGTGTTTGCTTTAAACAAGACTAACAGAATCAGGACCTTCAAGTTTTCTCCACTATTATCTGATTATTTCAGTACCATTTATGATTTTGAACCAAATGCCATAAGCAAAGAAATAATATCTGAGCACTTTACTCTGTCTCATGGTACTTTCTCATACTAAAGAAAACCGATCTGAATTTTCAAATGAAAGGGGTAATGCAGATAATTCACAGGCGAAGAACCAAGACCCACACCAACTAGTTAGTGACAGAAAATAGTTAGAGATATTATTAATTTCCAATCCAATGCTCTTTAAACTAAAACTACCCAAGCTTCTGCAGAACTTTGATTTTACTTAATTGGAAGAAATGCATCAGTCCCCATGAGAGAGTGCCCTAAGGACCAGCCATCCAAGGAAAGAAGGTAAACATCAGGGTTCTTTACTAATTCCTTTCCATAGAAAAGGTTTCTAGGAAATTTCTACAATTTCATCATCACAGAGTGGTTGCTATAATTTCTTTCTAGCCAAGTCTATGATACAAAAAAATGTAGAGTTGAGAGTATTACCCAGACATGAGTGTGTGTGATCTCAGGAGTTCAGAAAATAATACTATGTACTATAGGAGTGGAACCAGGAGAGAGAGAGAGAGAGAGAGAGAGAGAGAGAGAGAGAGAGAGAGAGAGAGAAATAAATCTCTTTTGCCCAAAATAGTTGCATGTATTGGTTAAATTCTAAAAGTAATCACTCAGCAATCTATTTAATTCTGTGTGTGAATAAACTGATAACTGTTGCTGGATATATTGTATTTTATTTCAACCAATCCCTCTCCAGGGGGATTTATCAAAGCAGCTTTATCATAAATTGTAATCATTGGTAAAGGCACAGTGTAACTTTTTCATAAAAAGTTATTTTTTCTAAGTACATATCATGATTAAAATTTAATATTTAATGTTAATATTTAAATATCTTAGGGACAATTATTTGATTCTTTCCTTTTTTCATGTGAAATGAAAACAAATTTAGGCTGTTGGGTTCATGACACCATTTATTGCTTGGATAAAAAGAAAAAAAGAAGTGTCCAGCCAATTATTTGCATAATTACAAGAAAGATCTAATTAAGGAAAGAAATGTACAGGGGTTGGCTCTAGAACACACCAGAAAATAGTTCACAGTACTTTACTGTCACAGGAAAAAAAGTTTAAACAATTTTTTTAAAGATTTGCCATAATAAGCTTTCCTCTCCCACTTCTTGAGCTATAAAGTAGTTTTTTCCACTCAGAGCAAAATCTTTAAAAGTAATACTCCACCATCCAAAAGTTAGGAGTTCCAGAGTTTAGATCTCACAAAAGATAATATGCCATTTTTGAAAAACATACTACTAATAGGGTACTTTTCAATGTTTTATCTCAAACGTGAAACAAGTGTGGGAACCCTCTTGCACCCTGTGGATTTTTATGAGGGCCAGGGTAGGGAAATCTTGCAGATAAGTCTCCTAGCTCAGAAGTGGCCAAGAGATTAAGCAAGGGACAGGGGACATACAGGCGCACAGATAGAGAATGCTGCCCTCGTTCCAGACTGCAGGAGGATGCGAGAAAAACCTCTTCTGCAACTCCTCAAAAACTTTCTAAAATGTAAGGTGAACACAGGTTATTTTTAAATCCTGTTGCTGTTTAAGAAAATGAACCATAATGGACCTAGTCTCTTTTATAAAACTAACCATACTTTTTTTTTTTCAAATTTGTATTGCAATCAGGTGCCTGAACTATAAGACATTTTCTATCCTTCTAATTCTGAAAGCAGGCAATGTCAACCAATAGTTTATATAGGAATTTAAAATTCCAACACACAGTTGCAAAGATCTAAATGAAACATACAAATTGTAACACACACTAAGCAACACACACAAAACACATGCACGAATACCATTTACTCCAACAGCTCACCATCCTAAGCAAAATAGTTCACACTTCTATAGAAGCTACTGGCTTCTAGAGAGAGCAACAGTACCAGCAATTATATTTAATATCTACAGTGTCTTATATAAAAATAGCACTGATAAAGACAACCCAGCTTTTACAAAACTGTAACTCCTTGTTCAGCAGTTAGCCAATCAGAAAGCAGGTCACACATCTTGTTAGGTGTATTAAATACATTAAACATCATGAATTCTCTATGGCTCCATTGACAATTCAAGCAAGTGTGTTTTATTTCATAATACAAACTTAATTGAGTCCCTTCCCAGAGTTAAGAGTCAATCTTCAATCTAAAATTCCAGCAAAGCTATTCCCTAAAAGCGCTTTGGCATAAATCCTCTGGGTATTTGTACTCTGCAGAGAAGACTGAATTCCTAGTAATTTCTCATTCCTAAAGCAACTTTGGTGCACCTATAACAAACTCCTTTTCACAGCAATTCAACACAAAGCCTTAACTTACAGACAAATGGAGAACTCAGCAGCACAACCTGCCAGCTGAGCTAGCACAGAGAAAAAAGTCAACTGACATTAAATATTTAAATTGCAAGAGGCGAGTCTGAAGTTTTGCATTTGGAAAGTTCTGAAAGTCCTGTTCTCTCTGCTCCCAGAGTTGCTAGCTGCCTAGGAGGCTGAGTCTCCCTCGCTCAGGCACAAGATCACAAATATGCAAAACCAGAGCTGACTTGAATGCTGAGCCACCTCCTGTCCTAAGGTAGGGTCCTTAGGAGGTTCTGCCATCAGCGATAGGAGAAAGTCAAGAATCCCCTTGCCCCAAGCAACTGGTTTTTGAATTTAACATGGAAATATACAAACATGTGTCCCTCCAGGGCTAGTTCTGAAAAGTATGCAGGGTTACTCTTCTGCTCCCTTTACCTCAATTTTGGTGACTTTGAAAAGCAAATACAGGTCAAAGCAGACTTCCTCTGGAATTTGTAAAAGAGTACATACATATTTTTTGCTAGATGAAAATGATCACAAAATCCCTTGGAATTATATCCCAAGAAACACTAAGAGGACCGAGTAGGAGCCTGCGCACACCAGAGTTCTGGGAGAGCAGCATTTCTGCAGACCCAGCATGTGAACCAAGTGCTGGGTCCTCTATTTCAAGATTCCGGCAGAAACTGTCCTCTGCTCCAAGAGTTGCTGTGCCTGGAAGCCCAGCGTTCAAACTAGTGGATTCATCCTGGCGCTCATTTCCACATACGTGGTAGTATCTAGTGGGACACTTCCCATAGCATTCAGCCAGAAACCCTAGAAACAGCCCATGCACAGTTTTAAAACAAACAAAAAAAATACACAAACACATACTCAAGGTTGAAGTACTTACCTCTGTGCGAGACTGCAGTCTCTTGTTCATCTCATAGATTCGGTACTCTGGCTGTACCATGTATGGTGTATGTCTCCTATAAAATGGGCCGAAAGGAGAAGAATAGAAGGGGTCATGTGGTGTGCTGGACATCTTGCCTGCTTGTCGAAAATCAAGCTAAAGAGAGTATCAGTAACGTCCATGCAGAGCACATGGGCTGTGTTCTTCACAGTACAAAGTAGACGCACGCACACACGCTCACACACACACACAGAGGCAGGCAGGCAGGCAGGCTGAACACACTGGCTGGGAACTGCTGTGGGAGCCTCTATAGTGAGAGAGAGAGAGAGAGAGCGGGAGAGCAGGGAGGGAGGCAGAGAGGGAGGGAGAGAGGGAGGGAGGGAGGTTGGTAGGGAGGGAGGGAGAGAGAGAGAGAGAGAGAGAGAAGCTGGATAGCTTTAGGCTCCACTGCTTGTTTTTAAAGAAGCAGCTTGTGGAGAGGTCATTTCCTGTCCATACTGTAGACTAGTTCAAAAATATAATTCTCCTCTCAGTCTGACAAGAGGTCTAAGGTTTGGTTTGAATTTTTTTCCTCCAGCCAGGACCCTTCACAACCTGATGGCTAAGCTTGTTAGCATAGAGGTGCTTTAACCGCTGCCTGAACCACTCGCCCCTGACAGCTGCACTGTTGTAATGTAGCAGAAATGTGATTGCTACAAAATAACAGAAACAAGGGCCAGCAAAGTGGCCCCCCGACTTTGAGCTGGTGATTCAGTCCCATGCAAAGATGTCTCTGGGCACTAACCTGCCGCAGTTTGGGGCTCTACTTGCTGTTGTTTCAGGAGCTTGTTGTATTCTGTGCATTTCTGTCCTTCTCACCCTCAGCCCCCCAGTCATTGCTCTCCCAGGCCCTTGCCCTCTTCTCCCAACACTTCATTCAAGCCCCTTAAGGTGGTGTAAGAGGGCCTGGATTCAGGTTATGGTATCGGAGCATTTTCAGGTAAAGACAATTATCCTGAATGTGGAATGCTTAAAATACATCCATGGGCAATGGTCATTTTCTCTAGGAGGAAAAAATAATACCAAAAGCAGATCTCCCAATAAGATAGGATAAGCAAAGAAGGAGAAGACTCCCTCAAAAATGACCACGGAGATTCAGTCCAGTAGGAAACTGCAGATAACTGCTTGGATCTTCCTCAAATAACATGTCCAACTCTGATGGAGAAAAGGTCTTTATTTTCCAAGACTGGTCAAATATATAAAACTTTTTCCAACTGTGGCTTATGATAAATGGAAGAAAACCCTTACAGCCCATGGGAGGTGAAAGAATCTCCATAGAGAATTAAGGGATCTTTAAGATAATCAAATTCTGCTGGAACCAACGATAACCAGACATACGATACTTCAACAAAGCCTAGCCACAGAAAATTTAAATATATTGAAGGAACACCTAACTGGGTCAGTGGTATTCAGGAAAGAAAGCAAAGACCACCAAAAAGCATGATGAATGCAAGACCTGAATGCAAATGCATGCAAATGAGACATTTCTTCTTTTTAATAAGCAGATTAATTAACTTTCTGCCCCCATCATGGCTTGGGGTATCTCCAAGTCACTAGCCAACAGGGGAAAAGGTATTACTAATTCTGCAATTTACACTCTTAAGAATACTCAGGCACAGATATGTCCCCAGATTACTGTCTTGATCAGTCTTTTTCCATAATTGCATGAAATGTTTGCAGAGTCCACCCCAAACTTCCAGCAGCGCAGCCCAACACAGTAATGTCGCTTGCCAGGATGAGATTACAGGAGGTATTACACTAAGGCTGCTTGGAACTTGTGCTGGGAGACCCCAAGGCAGGCCAGTGTGCTTGGTTTCAGGTTTCATTACAAATCCAAAAGCTGGACTAAATTTGCTGCAAGGTTTGTCAAAACACACAACCTTCTAAAGAAAGAATTTCAAACAAATTTGGTGTGATTTATGTTTTGGTATGGCGGCCACTGCAAAACTTAACAGTTCCTTGTGTTTAAATTCCCAAACTAAAGACCTTCCAAGAGCTTAGTGCCTGCCTGAGTTTGTGTTTATGAGACAAGAATCGAAGTAACACCTAGACAGGCGTGTGCAGCCCAATAATGATCAAAACTGGAACAGCTCAAAAACCCATGGAGGGCCGGCCCAGTGGCACAGTGCTACAGTGCGCCGCTTGGGAGCGCGGCGGCGCTCCCACTGAGAGTTCGGATCCCACATACAGACCGGTTCCCGCTCACTGGCTGAGCGAGGTGCGGGCACAACACCGAGGGTTGTGATCCCATTGCCGGTCCCGGTCCAGTACAGGCGCGACACTGAGGGTTGCGATCCGTTGCTGGACACGAAAAAAGACAAAAAAAAGGAAAAGAAAAAAAAAACCATGGAGATAGGGAATATCTTTCTGAATAAGGGTAAGTTTTGTTCTCATTAGTTCTTGCCGACCATTCCAAGTTATAATTGGAAGTATTTCTTTCTGTTAATACCCAAAGACTCCGACTTTAGAGCTATCTGAAACTTTGTAGTGCCTGGTCCACATTCATCAACTCTCATTCCTGCTATTTCAAGAGTCTCCAAACTGGGTTCCCGATTCACAGATTCACAGTTCTCTTCCAAGTTGCAATCCATTCTTATTCTAATCAAAATGTTGATTGTGGAAAAGTGAAACTGGTCATGTTCCATGTTTTCCCCTTCAGTGTTTCCTTGCTGCCAGTAGGAAAATGTCCAAGCTCCTTAAGACGTGGCACACAGGTCTCAGTAGGACCTGCACGTGCTCTCTCTCTCTCTCTCTCTATCTCTTTTTCTATCTCTCTCTCTCTCTCTCCAAGACAACACACACTCACACACACACCCTCATTTATTTGTTTGTTTATTCATTCACTTATTTGCCATACTTGATCTCCCAGGAGTTACAATCTCCTCCCATGCATGACCACATTTGTACTTTTGTCCCTTGTTCACCTGCAAACTCCTATGCATCCTTCTATCCAATTAAATTTGCTCCTCCCCATACACCTTTTTAAATTATGCAAGCATTAGTGTGTTTATTCAAGAGATACTCCATTCACAGTGTGTGGGAGCACAGGCTATAACGCCACTGACCAGAGCACATTTCAATCCTGGTGCCACATGAACTTCAGCAAATGACTTGACCTATCTGTAGCTCAGTCATCTCATTTGTAAAATGGGGACAATGATACTAACTAGTTCATAAGATGGTTGCAAAGAATTAGATAATACATTTGAATGTATTAGAACCCATACATCTAAAGGCTCAACAACTTTACTGTTATTAGGTACCTGAAATCTGCTCAGGTGCAGGAGAACATGGGGAAGCCAAGATGGACATAGCAGCTAGGCCACCTGCCTTCCTGCCCTCTGCAATCTAGTGAGGGGAAGAGGGAGACCATAGAAGAACTAGTGGACTCTGGGAGCACCATTTAAAACTACAGTGCATGCTATGATGGAAATGAATAAAAGAAAGAGATAGAAAATCATAAAAGTAATAATTACTGTCATTTGTTAAGTACACACTATGTGCCAGACTGTGCCAAGTGGTCTGCACGAATACTCAGTTACTCTCACATTAAGTCTATGGGATTGATTACATTACTATTCCCATTTTACAGATATGGAGACTGAAGCTTCGAGAGGCTAAGGAACTCACTCAAGGTCATGCAATGAATAAGTGTCAGGGACAAGATTCACACCAAGTCAGCCTGACTACCTGGGTCTTCAGAATATTGCTGCCCAGAGCCTAGGTCAATCCCGATCTCAAGGGCATCTTTGTTCTTTGTCTCCTGTGGCCAGCAAGGTGCCAAGATGTGTGGACCTAATTAAATAGAAGAAGCAAGAGGATGAAGTGATCCCATCGCCTGGATTTTATTCTTTGTCCTGCTTAATTTCAGACATCCATTGTCTTCCAGTCTCAGTCCCACTCCTCCTGAACCCTTGCCAAACTGCTCCCACCTTTCTTATTGTCCAAAATTTCCCAGCACATACTCCCAAATCTGCACTGCTAGGTGTCTAATCCTTTGCACCATCAAGTTATCTGGCTGGTTTTGTCACTCAACTGTCTGTCTTCTTTCCCTGCTTCTTGAGGGACCAGTTATGACTTGTTTTCTTCTGGCCCAGGGCTGAGCCTGAGAAGAGAAGGAAAGAAAGTGCTCATTTCAGGGCTACAAATCAACTCCTTTGGGAAACCACGGGAAAATTCAAGTAAACAATGCTTGTGTACCATCAAAGGAGTAAGCCTAGCCCCGGTGCGACAGTTCTGTTACCCACAAAGATTGAACCATGCTCATTTATGTATTATTTTGCATGCTTAGAATTGAATAAGTTCCAGAAGTCCTCACACAGACAGTATAGGTTCCCTGAAGCTGGCCTGCTCTTTCAGCTTGGAATCTCGTCTGCCTACATTCACCTTAGGTATAACCCAGAGTGTTGATTTTTCCTTTAATTTGAAATACTTGCCCACAGTATAAAACGTGAAGGATTTCACATTCAATCCAGATTTTCATCTTCTCTTGAAAAGTCATAAACTCTGGCAACCCTTGACCCTACCCCTGCCTGCATGGCAAGGTGCAGCTGGACCTGCTGATTGGTTCCTGTTGATTTGCCATGGTCTCTGTCACTCTCCAATGCCCCTAATTTCCATTTACCTGCTTAGTCCTGCTAGGTATTTGAATCTTCGTCCTTTTCCTTAATCTATCCAAGTGCACCCTTTTCAATTCCTTCAATAAAGCTCTGTTTGCATCAGAAGCTAGTTTCCTTACCGCTCTTCAGTTCCCCCTCTCCACCCTTTCTCACCTATTATGGTGTGCCATGCTTTCTTTCTGCTCCTTCATTCAATAAGCATTTAATTAACAGGTATGTGCAAGCTACAGCAGAGAGGTGGTGGGCGGAAAAAAGATAAATAAAGACACAGAAGTCAGGATCTTTGTTTTCAAGTGATTTTCAGACATGCAAAAATATGCTTTCTTCATTCAACAAGTATATATTGAGCCCCAAGTATGTACTAAACACCAAGCCAGATGCTGGGAATATAGCCCCAGGAACAAAAGGTAATCTTCAACTCCAGGTAGAGAGGCAGTGCAGAAAAATGTTTTCTCTTTCTTTCTTTCCTTCTTTCTTTTTTTTTTTGGTGATTGGCTGTTAAGAGGATCTGAACACTTGACCTTGGTGTTATCAGCACCATGCTCTGACCAAGTGAGCTAACCAGCCTGCCCCAGAAAAATGTTTTGAAGGATGAACCTTGGAGCCTCACTGACTTGGCTTGAATCTTGACTCCTACATTTAGCTTTATTGGGCACTTAACCTCTCTCTGCCTCGGTTTTCTCATCT